AGCCATAATTAAGACAATAATTAAGACACTTGCATCATCATAATCACCCATTTTTGAACGCACCTTCGGGTCTAGTATGTTTGTTGTCCATTAAACCAACAACATGGACTAGACAACAATCCAATGATTTGTCTTCTTAGGGTCCTTTGCCTTCATGTACAATCGTCTGTCCCGTCTACAAAACCAAACTTTTACTTGGCCATTAATGAGCAACATATGGCTTTAGCCCATACATCGTAATTCTCACCACGCAATTGAATAGACATGATCATGTTACCGGTTACCCATTGCATCGCTCAAACCTTGGTAATAAACTAAATCGACTGGTGGAGTTTTATCACCCATCTGCCTTAATAAACAGTTTGTTCTACCTACTTAACTTAATCTCAAAGTCTCAATCTTCTCATTAATCACATAAGCTGTATTTATACACAATCATGATCCCAATTAATAGAAATCTAATTATTACATAGCTTGATCTGAGGATTAATTAATATATCACAATAAAAGATAATACAAGATATATAAAAGATATATTTCCTAATTATTATCACCCATCTCAACTTCCTGATCAGGAGGACTAATACCCCCCAAACCCACCTCCCAAATTTCACCTCTATCTGGAAGCTCAACATTCCCCTGCTTTGTTTAATTCTTCCTTTGGTTAGGCTTATGGAATAGGTTACCCACTGCAGACCACCTCCATACTAGGCACATTATAACCTCTGGATCATGCATCTTCTGTCGTGGCACTCCTGAAACCTCTAGCCATGTGTTTAGGGATTGCAATAGAGACAGGGAATTCTGGGATATTGTCCAACCTTCTCCAACTTGCCCTTCCTCCGATCCTGTTGTCTGGCTATGTGAAATCTTGATAGTACCTCTCATCATCCCTTTCTCAACCTCCCTTGGAATCAGACTTTTGCCCTCTTAACCTGGAGATTGTGGCAAGCTAAGGAGAAATGAGTGGGTTTTCAATATAAAGTCTACCCCTTGTCTCAAACCACATAAATGCTGTTAAAGCTTGGGCTGTTGAACCTGACTCTCACCTTCACCATCCCAACCATAACCAGATTATTAGCCAACACATCAGTTTGGGTCTAAGTCTGAGTATAATGGTTGATGCTTCTTTTAAAAACCATGTTTGTGCCACTAGCATTGCTTGTATCTGCGGGGACCAATATAACAATTGGGTGAAAGACATTGCCCTCCACACATGGGCAAATTCTGCCCGCATGGCTAAAACCATAGCCATAAATGTTGTTGCTGCCTCGTCAGTAAAAGAAGGCTAGGAGGATGTCCATATCATCTCTGATTGTGAAAGGCTGTACAAGGAGTGAATCAACATCAACAAGGCTTTGATGAAATGGGGAATCATTATCTTTTTTGTAGGGACCTGCTAAAAAAGATACCAAGGGCAAGGCTATCCAAGGGACCTAGGGATCAAGTCAAGGAAGCAGATGTGGTGGCCAAGCAAGCTATGCAGCATCTAACTCCCTCCACTAGAGATGGCTGGCCGTTTGACAATGTTTTGGATATATGTGTGCTAATAATTGTACCTCCTGTGCCAGCTTCTGATTTATGTAATAGCAACACTGTTTCTTTTGGTAGCAAACTCATCAACTCCGCTAATCAAATATGTAATTTGGGTGTCACCACACCACTTTTGAACCCGCCTTAGACTATGGTGGTGTTGTTTGTATTATGGCTTAGGCCTCCTAACAATATGTCACTCTTGTTTATTTCTATAATCTAATCTAGTTCCTTTTCCTCCAAAAAAAATTCTCAACCAAACTAGTAATATATAACTTAAAGTAAGAAAAAATGAACAACTACGTACTATACGACTCACATTACTACAAAAAAGCAGCAAAAAGACCTGTTGAAAATGCTTTACAAACTGCCAAGCTACAGGTCTCTAGCTAAGGGGTCTGTCAGATAAACAAACCGCCTCTTTGGGGGGGGGGGTCTATTTTAAAAACATAACAGATCCGTTAATTAAGAAGTCAGGTTTGTCAGACTAGTACTTTAAAAAATTATTTAGAAGGATAAGAGACCTGTTATTTAACATAACAAGTCTTTTCAGTGGGGTAACAAACATACCCCATATGCTACATAACTGGTCTCTTTCTTCTTTTTTTTTAAAAAAAAAAATTCTTGTGATTTTTTTATTATACGTACTATTTTGAAATTTGAATTTCATTGCTTTATTGAATTGGCAGAATATTGAAAATGCAAACTTTGAATATGTAATTAAACAAACCGACATATATTAATTATTGAAATTTACAAAATAATTACTAGAATTATTTACAAGTGGTAGCTTATTGAATAACTTACAAGTATATACTTCATACGACCATGCATAAATTAATAGTGTATCTTGTACTCCGTATTCCTTCCATCTTGTACTCCATATTCCTTCTATGACTATCAATAGCATAATCTGTCTAATTATATAAATAATATCAGGAATAATTATGCCCAATACTATAACAATATTAGGAGCAATTGTGCAAAATGTTATGTAGTTATATGAAATTAAAATATATCTGGCTAAATTAAGAGCCAATAAATAAGTCAAGATTTAGTAAAATGAAGAGCAATAATCTAAGTTAACATTCAAACAAAAACAAAAAAAAAAAAAAAAAAAAAAAAAAAGATAAAAATCAGATTGCCTACAATTGAAAGCCAAATCTAAAATTTTACTCAAACAAAACAATTGCAATTAACAACAAAAAAAACGATATGAATTTCAATGAATTGAACAATTTAGCAATTAATTTTTTTAGAAATTGTGGTGAAACATTAGTAGATCTCGAATAGTCATTTGGTAAAGCCGAAACTTCTACTTTTGCCCTCACTTTCGTCCCTTTCATAGATCTTCGGACCTGTACTAGCTAAAAAAACATCGGATCTAAATTATTAGGGTGCGAATAGACCCAACAAAAGGATTATAATCAATTTAAAGAAAAATTCGAGAGTACAAATGGAATCAAAACCTGTTTTCATTGTTACCGGCATCTCCATCCTTGGAGTTGTTTCTGGGTTGTGTCGAATCCCCATTTGGGTTTGAAAAGCTCTTAAGCTGTTTTAAGAGCTCTCAATTTCCCTCTCCTCTCAATTACTGCTTGTTCAATTGGATCTTCTTCAGTCACCATTAAAGCATTCTCAAATTATTTCAGTATTTACAAACTTAGGTAAATGAAGATAGAATAATAAAGATATTTTCAATAAATAGGATTTAGAATGAGAAGGGCGTTGATAACTAAGAAGGGAATGATAGAGAATATCCATAAAATATTCTCATCCTAGGTTTAGGATATATTTTGTATAAGATTATCTTTGATATCTGTACATATCTTATAGTTACCTAATATGATTAGGTTTCTCATAGTAACCCTATAAATATTGATCAATGGAAATCACTATAATTGAGGAGTTTATATTATCTGACATGGTATCACGGCTTAGGTTAGATCTTGGGATCATATACAAAAATTCTCACCCTGCCGGTGGGTTAGAAAATTAAACCCACCAGCGGGATATACACAAATTTTTTATGCTTCCGCAAACACACACATAGATTTTTTTTTCTTTTCTCAAAGATTTTTTTTTTTTAAGAAAAAATCTTTATGTAGCCTTGCGCTTCCCACCGATAGTAGCAACCGCGAAAGCCGCCTCCATCATTGGTGGCAATCGCATACACTACCGCCTCCCATTACTGGCAGTAACCACATCTGCCAACCTACTCCATGTGCCGCACTCTATTTCCACCTCCCCATGACCAACAATGATTCTTACATTGCCTCATTGTTTTTTTTTTTTTTTTTTTTTTTTTTTTTTTTTTTTTTTTTTTACACATAATCACATAGATTTTGTTTTGGTGGTGGTATATCACAATAAGGTCAACTTTTACACATCTCTTTTGCTATCAAGTTAGCTCCTTTTATTGTTGCAGCACTTGGAATCTTTGTGGAGTATTAATTCTTGCTACCTGGTTTCTCTTTTGAGAATTGATTAATTTCAAGCGGTGGGATTTAATCTTTTCTTGCGCAATTTTATTTGTTTTTCTTCAACTGTGATTTCACGTAGTAGTGTAGTGTCTTCTCCTCGATGATGGTTTGATCCCTTAACTTATTCTTCTCTGGATCTGCAACTTGGCCCAAGTATATGCGTGACTCTTCTCCTTCGGCCTAAAAGCGCATATCTCTACTATACGTAGGTCGTGGTTGTTGCTTCTCATCGTCATCACCAGCACACGTCTACTACTTCTCTTTTGATCATGGGTTACTATACTATCCTTACCGTTCGATGCGTGATTCAGATCCAGTCTGAGCATCCGATTTTCTCCCGCTCTGACTGCGGGGGTGTGATAGAGAATATCCATAGAATATTCTCATCCTAGGTTTAGGATATATTTTGTATAAGATTATCTTTGATATCTGTACATATCTTATAGTTACCTAATATGATTAGGTTTCTCATAGTAACCCTATAAATATTGATCAATGGAAATCACTCTAATTGAGGAGTTTATATTATCTGACAGGGAAGAATCGGATATTACCAACCGTTCAGTGGCGTTGATATAAGAATGAATTAAGAAGGTAATATCCAAGGGACGTTGATAACTAAGAAGGTAAGGATGAAATGGGTCGGGCTTTAGAATGAAAGTGGCTTTAGAATGAAAGGCCTCAATAAGGTATGATATAAGAGAATTAAGAAGGTAAGAAACCCGTTCAGTCTCACTATGGGTCTCTAAGACTTCTATTGTTTTACTAATATTGGATCTCCTACATCAAACAAACCTATTATTAAGATGATGGGTCTTTTATTAGGGGTCCTTTTTTCAGATTTCGTAATAGTGTCATTCAATATTTTTTGTTGATTTATAGAGATAGATAGACATAATAACATCATTCTTTTTTATTCCAAAGAAAACAAATACAAATATTATACATATATTGTATTACTACAAATGAAATATAATCATATGCTTTACCAATAACCAAAGGTAAAGTATTCAACACAAAAGTAATAATGCGTAAATACGAGATATTAAAATGCATGGTACGTATGATTCAAAATTTAAGCCATAATAATAGGATCAACAAGAATAGTGGCATCTTTTTCTTGCATAAGTTGGCCGACGGTATAGCCATCTTCATCACAGTGATAGATGTCATATAATGTCCTTGTAACGTTGATAACTGCAAATAATATAGGGGTTGGAACAATTCTTGACCCAATTATTTCTTCATTCATGTCCTTCCACGCCTCCTCGATGTGTTTTTGAAGCTCCTTCGTAGCTTCTTCGATCGAGAATCCAAATTGATCCATGTAGCAATCAATTGCAGACGAAACATGACCTCTAGTCTTCTCAAACTACAAATTTCCATTAAAAGTGAAATCATAAGATTGGATTGAGCTAGGGCAATCGTGTTTAACCACTACGAAAAGTAGTGGTTTAAAAAAAAAAAAAAAAAAAAAAAAAACCCTAATGTTGTCAAATACTCGTAGTAAAATTTTCAAACAAATTGTAAATTAAACTACTCGTACAAATCTTATAAAGAGTAAAGTTTCCACTATTTTTAAATTGGATTTTTTTTGTGAAAAACTACCTTTTAAACTCCAGACTTTGCGAAAAACTACCCTAAAAACAAAATGTTGTAATTAACTACCTTATAAAATATAAAACGTTGTAATTGACTACCTTCTACCGGAATGACACGTTTGACTTTTATTTTCCGACATTGACCATGTCACGTGAGGGTCACGTGATCCTTTAATGACTTAATTCCCTTCTTTTCCCCAAATTTTCCCACTTTACACCAATTCAGCCCATATAATTATCAAAGTGGTTGCAAATAAACAATATAAAATATGAATATTGTATTGTTAAGGAAAAGAGTTGGTATAAAGCGGGAAAATTTGGGAGAAAAGGGGGGAATTAAGTCATTAAAGGGTCATGTGACCCTCACATGACATGGTTAACACCGAAAAATAAAAATCAAATGTGTTATTCCGATGGGAGGTAGTCAATTACAACATTTTATACTTTATAAGGTAGTTAATTACAACATTTTATACTTTATAAGGTAGTTAATTACAACATTTTGTTTTTAGGGTAGTTTTTCGCAAAATTCAAAGTTTAAAAGGTAGTTTTTCACAAAATATCCTTTAAAATTTAAATGAGGTCAATTAACCCGACCAACTACTATTGATTTGTCTGCCGCTAATTATACGATCATTAACAGCAAATCTAACCATCAATTTTTTATCTCATCTTATTTTTAATCGGTAAGAAAGGTATATTATCTAAGAGAAAACATTGTGAATTAAATGTACAATTAGTCAATTCAAACTTATGACTAACCAAATATGTACAAAGCCTTTTTTTCCTCCTCTAAAATATTCGTAAAAAGTTGTCATAGTTGCAAATAGAAAAAATTGTACAAATTATCACAATTTTAAACTTATAACTAACCACATGTCTAATTCAGATTTTGAATTTTGTTTTCATTGAAGTATTTATGTCTAGGAGTTAAATAATTGTAACAAGTAATTTCAGTGTTGTCACTTTAGTTTATTAGTGGGAGTACATACCTTATGGCTACTAATGTCATTCAAGAGCCTAGCAAGTATGCACGAAGCTTTTAGAGCCTTTGTATTTTCGTCGACCCATTCAAAGGCATGTTTAGATGCCAACTCCCCCATGCCTTGATAAGAGGCAGCAGTAATGTACAAATAGCCAGAGGTGATGATGCCAGTTTTCATGTATTCGTCGTAAGTTGGAACAACATTTTGATGATGCCAAATAGATTCTTGCAAGTAAGCTTGACATATACCTTTCATCTAGTAAACAAAATAAGACATTATTGAGGATTTATGTTAGCTCTTGTATACTTTCTCAAGCAAATCAAATAATTATATATAGATTATATGCTAATTGAATGTGTATGTACTTCTTTTTGGAGATGATCAACAGCATATGATCGTTGCTCCAAAGCTAATTCTTGCTCAATTTCTTCAAATGTATCAAACATAACTTGAGAAATTGCTCTCATGTAGTCCGGAAGTTGATTGATGCAACTTTTGTCCCACCTATTATTCATCAAGTTATACAAATTTCTAATAAGTTCAATAATTAGGTTAAAAAAGATTTAGGAGTACTATATATACACGTATGGCACATTCATGCATGTTAACGAACCTTTGAATCATTTCTGTGAAGGGTTTTAACTCTTCAATGGTTCCATAAGCGTCATAGATGTCATCTATTACAGATATAATGTTGAACAATTTGTTTAACAGCATCCTCGCGTACGAGTACTTAGGCTCATAGTACACACCCAAAATCCAAAAATAGGCCTCTATCACTCTATCACGAACAAAAGGGTATTTCGTGACCATATCTAGACTTCTCCACCACCTGAGTAAAAGAAAAATTAGTACTAACCCTAGCTAGATAAATCACTTGTATCAATAAGTTTTTTCATATATTTAATCACCTAGTATGATCTCTTAGCTCCTTGTTATGCAATATTTGAACCAAGTTGAAATCTAACTTCGCAAATTTCAACAAAGCTTCGTTATGGAAAGGCTTTGACTCATACCACGAAATTTGATACCAATATTCAAGCCTTATACTATGTCGATGGAGGGGTAGTTTCAAGGCATGGGCTATTTGTTTAGCCATGGGAGAGTTTGATTGTGTAGAAAAGGAGGTTAGATGAGTAGTAGCAAATGCACGAGCTTCGTCGAGTGTATTCTCTCCATGTACTCTTAGATATGATGCTTCATACAAGCTCAATAGGCAATGCACATCGTTTGTTAACCTTTCCTTGAAGCTTCCATTCTCACATTTGAAGTTTTCAAACACATCTAGTTTATACATACAAATATTATATCAATATATAAACTTGGAATATTTTTAATTTAACGTGAAACTATGCATACAAAAACAATGTAACGATTAAGAAGATGCATTGGAATTACATACCACATGAAACATTGAAGCCATGTTGTCGTAAGAGACGAAAGCGTAGAGAAACATAGTAAAGATCATCCTTGTAGGAACTATCATCATACATCTTCTTATAGAAATTTCGAAGAGTGTCTTCGATTTCATTTTCAAAGTGGTATGACACTCCAATGCGATGTATGTCATCTAAGAATTCAAGTCTTTCCTTTGGGTCCTTATCAACGTCCATAATTTCTTTGCGCACTAGCTCTTTGAGCTCCTCCGCCTCTTTCTCCATTCGGCCTTGGGTAACCTAAACCAATAGATCGTTAACGTTTGTTAGTATAAAAACAAAAATAAAACATAAATAATTTATTTTCATAAGACTTTAAAAGCGTTTTAATACTACATGTATCCTTTACTTTTTAAGTACAAAAATAAAACATAAAGTAGTATTTGTATCCTTTACTTTTTAAGTACATGCAACAAGCTAAGGTGATTTTATTATAAATTTATTAATGATAACTTGTTAAATGTATGTATGTGACAACCTAAAATGTGCAATATTAATATTAATTTACGAAGTTTAATGCCAAATTCAATTTTATATATATGAGAAAATAAAAAGCCAATTTTACAAACTAATTATAGAACAGATTAAAGTCAGGCCGACTCATTGGCCAGAGCAAGATTAATGCGGGTGATAATAATAGTAGTAGTAGCAGTAATAACAATAAATAAAAACCTCCTCGGGGGAGTGTAGTTGAGGAAGTGATCACCCTATATGTTGGGAGGATAATTAGCAAGAGGACAAACGATTTCTGTAACTGTATGATTCATACTAACCATATCATTCATACAAGTCATATTCTCTCAAAAACTTTTGAGAATTGAAATTTGCAAGAGATTATTTTGAAGTCTTTTGAATGAATAGACTTAGTTTTTTTGTTGTTATGAAATTTAAGTGTAAAGCAAGCACATATATATAAGGGAACAAGTCTAGATATTGCTGCACGTAAAATTCTTTGTCTTGTATTACATTTTGTTTTTATTAGTTGATTACTCTTGCTAGTTGCAACTTTGTAAGTTTGCTATATTTTTTTTGTTTCTTTTTCAAAAGTTGGCATTTTTAAAATAAAAGGTGTTGGGATTTCTAAGATATTTTATTTTTTTAAGTTGGTCATAGTATGTGGGCTTGATTCTACGAGATGGTAATTTTTTTCTTACATCTGTCTATGTGTTTTAAAGTTAATTAATTAGATATTTCTCCAGCCATACTAAGATTGTTGAATTAGTAATAATTGAATTTCTGAAATAATATAGAAGCCAACAATCAAATATATAATTAAATAAATAAAGTTATAGTTTTTACACAAATTAATAATAATAATAAATGTAATACTATTACTAATAATAATAATATGGTGTTAAGGAGTAAAAATTCCATATAATAATGTAGTACCTTTATTTTTTTTATTTTTTATTTTTTTTTTGTATCAATGACTTTTTCAGGTTCATAAATTTACTTGCATTTTTTTCTCACTATATTTTGGTTTCACCCATTCGCAATTTTAAAATACACTCACCCCATTCTATAATAATTGATATGGAATACATCTTTTTTATTATTATTATTATTATTATTATTATTATTATTATTATTATTATTATTATTATTATTTTTAATATTTATGTGTTAACTTTGACTAAAGTTTTTAGTAGCATATTTATATGAGATAGGAATGTATATTGTGATATGATATTATGAACAGAGGTTTTTCAGTGCGGCATGCCACATGGTGCGGCACGGGTTACTTGTATTCTGGGGTTATTTGTACGGGGTTACTTGTATTCTGGGGTTACTTGTATGGGTTACTTGTATTATGAGGTTACTTGTATTGTGGGGTTACTTGTATTCTAAGTAACTCCTACAAGTAACTCCAGACAAAAATCCCATACCAAACCAGTAATACCCTACAAGTAACCCCTAATCAAAACCAGTAACACCCATACAAGTAACCCTAGAATACAAGTAACACCTATAAGTTACCCCTGACAACAAAACCAGTAACACCCTACAAGTAACCCCGACCAAAACCAGTAACACCCATACAAGTAACCCCGGAATACAAGTAACACCTACAAGTAACACGTGAAAAAACCAGTAACACCCTACAAGTAACCCCGACCAAAACCAGTAACACCCATACAAGTAACCCCAAAATACAAGTAACACCTACAAGTAACCCCTGACAAAACCAGTAACACCCTACAAGTAACCCTTGCCGCACCATGTGGCCAGCCACATACAAAAATTTGTATATTCAGGGCCGTAGCATGGCCAGGGCAGGTGGGGCAACCGCCCTGGGCCCCTGACCAAAAGCCCAACTTCAGTATATTTCAAGGCCCCAAAATAAATGTTTATGTAAAAAAAACAAAAAAAAAACAAATGGTGTAGCAAAACAAGTCTAACAGTACAACTGCATTTCAGAATATCAACTGCATCTAATATTCTAATTGCTTCGACGAGAGTTACGGGAATTGCTTGTTTCCTACTTTTATGATTTCATCTAAATGCTACTGCCTACTGTCATTCAAGAAAAATATATTAGAACATATTAATGTAGAAACTATTATTAGTGACTTTGCTGCGTCTAGAAATGCTTGTAGAAATATTTTCATATGAACGCTTTGATTTCAAAGTTTTATCCATATGAAATTTGAAGTTTCTAAAAGATTATTATGGATAATATATATATATATATATATATATATATATATATATTTAGCATACCCAATTTTATTTTATTGTATGATACTATATGTGAATTAGGGGCCCAATTTATGTCTTCGCCCCAGGCCACCGAAATCTCAGAAACGGGCCTGGTATATTATGAAAATAATATTATATGAGATAATAATGTCAAAAGATATATGTGATATATTATATGAAGTTAAGATAATAAGGAATATTAGGGATGGTTTATATTGTAATGTGGCCTAATATTATAATGAATGGAAAAAATACAATGAAAACGATAAATATAATAAACATTATTGTGAATATTATTGACTATATTTAGTAAGGTTTTTACTAACATAGTAAACATGTGTAATCATGTAAAATGCTATTAAACCTATATTAAAATAAAATTTTATAATATCAATTTTTATTATAAAATTTACTAAAATTTTAAGTTAAACTACTATGTAATATACTATTGACAATTGTGCCAAATTAACAATGCCATTTTTTTGGTTCCACAAAGGGCATGAACTGTGTCGGCACGAGCCCGACACGAATTCGACATGGCCCGACACGAGCTCGCCAGTGGCACGACTCGGCACGACGACCCAAGTGTGGGTCATGGGCCGTGTCATGAACAAACTTTTTTATAATAAGCACGGCGGCTGGCACGCTATATATATATATATATATATATATATATATAACCGTGGCGGTCTGTTGCCCGCCACGACACGGCCCGCCAGGCCCGTGGGTTGTGTTGTGTTGTGGGTTGGGTTGGGGTGTGCCAAAAATTGGCACGGCCAGACACGGCCCGCGGCGGCCCGGCACGAAACGATGCCCACCTTTACTTAGCTTCTTCCACCCATCCGAAATTTTAAATATGCATAAGCTTTATTCTTTCTTACAACAAAGAAAAATACCAAGTAACACACAACCCGCCACTTTAGCGGCCTAATACATTGATTTTTCCTAGAGTAACACAAGGAGTGAGTGACTCTTAATATAATTAAAGCTAGATCAAAGACAATGTACTGTGATCTAGTAATAGAATAAACTTGACTAGAAATAGTAACAACTAATTTATTCATTAGTTTACTTGTCCAAACTGTTGAGGAAGAGAATAGAGGTGTCAATCTGGGTACTTAGGTCAGGTTTAATTGGGCCGAGTCAAGTTTATTTTAAAGTTAAATCATACTAAATTAGTGTTTGAGTGGGTATTTCGGATTAGATCGGATCAATTGAACAAGTCAATTTTTGACACTTGTAGTCACATTTTCTTGAAGACTACGCTTGCTCTGATCTTGGCCTTGGTGGGAGTGTGACTGTGTGAGTTAGTTGCCAAAGAATTTTTTAGTACTACCTCAAGTTCAATTTACTCGCAAGTCGCAACAAAGGAATATTTTATGTCTTACAAATAATACTCCTTTGTTGCAAGTAAATTAAACCGGAGGTAGTATAAGAGATGGAGGCACAAATCCTTCATACAATCATACACTCTGATATGATGTCCATGACATAAATTGGTTTACCAAGTCAAGTCTAGCCATTGAGTGTAGAAATTTCAAATGATTTTCTTGATGGTTCACCAACTAGTTATTAATTTACTAATTATTTTTGTATAAAGGTAATAAGGAGAAGCACGCAGCACAACAAACAAGAACATATAGCTCAAGTCTTAGTAGACTAATCAGCTCTATGTCTCTAATCAACATAATATAGTATATCTTATTAAATTTGTCGTATATGATGAAATTGTCTTACGTATTTACATGCATCCTCAATTTTAATCGCTAACCAGGCCACTTCCGCCGGATGAACGTGACTTTTGCACAAATTCAAAATGATCTTTAACTAGTTCTTTGTCCAAGCAACACTTGGATATTCATAAGAAAAAATTACTTATATTTATATATTATTATAACTTTGTATTTAATTATAGATTTTGTGTACATTTAATAATTTATTTATTTAAAGTTGTTAATGTTCTATTATTTAGGTTGTATGTTTATTAGTCCAAAAAAAAGTATTTACTCTCTCTCTCTTTACTTTTTTTTTAATCAATTATCATATTATTTTTAATGAAAAAAATAGAAAAAAAAAAAATTTGAAATAAATTTTTTTAATGTGAATGTGACACGTGTACTTCTAGGATAATGTTGGTGATTACTTTAGCACTACGTATATAGTATTGATAAATATAATTAATGATGATGATTATATATTCCCCTCTATAATTTTAACTTGTTTAGCTTCATTTATCCGGATACAAAGTATTAGGAGGAATAATAAAATTAATCATGTTATTTTATAATGTAATTAGGTTGGTTGAAAAATAAAAATAAAAAGGGAAATTCTCAATGGTGACCCCCAACTCCTACTACGCACCACGGTGACCCTCTTGAAAATTAATTATACAAATTGACCTTACTTAGAAATTGCATCTCATTCATAACCATATTTCATTAAATATTAACCTTGGTTAGATTTATATTTAAAAAATAAAAATTACACAACCACCAAAACCAACCACCCCCACATGCCCAACCACCATCTCCCTTC